TTTTCTCCGTGTAAACACTAAAAATTAAAAAATTTACAATAATTTAAAAATTTCAAAATATTCTAAAGTTTTATAATTTCCAAAATTTAAAAATTTCAATTTAACGTTAAACCTATTTTTGTTTGCTGTTTTATCCTTAAAAAATCATCGAGCAACAACATGGACATGGAATGGCAAAATAAAAAATTTATTGTTTATAACACAAAATTATTAACAAAATTTGTTTCTAACAACCGTTTGTTCAAAAGAAATATGTCCTTAAATTTATAATGATGCATGTTATATTATACATTTTTGGGGTGCTGGTTGTTTGTGGTATATGTATGTATATATATTTAAATATATATAGCACTATATGTGTCATCTTCTAGAGGCCTTTATTAAGTATCAAATTATATACTTTATATATTTTAAGACAGAGAAAAAATAGAACGAAATGTTCTGAATTTTCTCTGAACATGTTTGCCATCCAAAATTCGTTCACAATAACTGCTTTTTAAATGGTACAATTTTTTGGATACATATTGGATAGAGTGCTTCGTTTTGAAAGAAGATGCGTTTTTTAATCCCATACATTAAAATAAAGAATTTTTGTATCTTTAATAGTCCTATTTGTGTTATTATCTAAAGAAAAGTTAATCTAAGATAAAATAACAATTTTATAAAAAAATAATTTGGGTATTTAAAAAAATATATGTTCGTCCAAAACGAAGGCATGTAGGTATTATTATAAAATTTTATCATTTTTATGTACTGGAATCATTTTTAAATACAAGATATCTGTGTTTTTCGTCCCTAGAAGAATAGCTAAAATAAGGTGTATTTATCTGTTGTAAAGATATATAAAATGTCATTTTTTATTTATTTACTTATTACTTTGTTTATGTACAGAATTCCAAGTAATGACAATATTTAATATCACTGTTTAGGCGTCCGCAGAAATATCAGAAGATAATTTTAGTTTTGTTTTGTTTATTGTGAAATCCGTTTTTAGTGGTATCAAAAATATGTATCTGATATTTTTGCGTTTTTTGTCCAAATTATCAACAAGTAGCTACATGGCAAGCTATATTGTAAATATAAAAAAGTCATAAGAATTTGTTGTAGATATTACCGATAAGGCCAAAAATTAGAAAAAAGTAGATACTTTCTAATGGAATTAAGATATTCGGGGATAGTTTTATTATTTGCAAAAGTATTATTATAAATATCCTTTAATTCTAATTTACTACAATAGAAAATATAACCTATCTAGTTATTTGCTATATTCGTTGTTTAATGTAGTCAATCCCATTTGAAAGTCTAAGAAATTGTAAAACGCTACCGAACAAAATATTAAATTGTTGCTCTACAATTGACTTACTTTTTTGATGAAAAATCTACATGTTTTGTTTGTACAATGACCGACACAAAAATAAAACAGATGCATTCTTCGCATTATCCTTTCATGATTTAAATGTAATTTTGTTATAAACATAAAATTTTGCAAAACTATAGTTAATATAGGATACGAGTTATCGTGGTAAACTTAATGATGCATTTTTAGTTTTTTAATTTAAGTTGTATATTTCAAAGGCTTAACATTATTATTGTTATTATTGTACCAAAATTAAGCCACCCACCTTTACCCCCTGTGCCCAGGAAGAACCCCCCTAAAAATCCTTGGTTCGTTTTTAAATAAAAAAGTTTCCCTGGATAACAATTTTTAGGGGCTCCCATGTAGAAAAAACAAAGGACCCAAGATTGACCCAGGCTTGTCCCAATGAGTCTCGTAATGATAACTTTGTGCCAAGCCTGGCATACTACTGTATTTGGCCAAGACTGGTAATGAACCTCTGGGCCAGGACAGTTCTGGCTGAAGCTAGGTTAAAGACTTGAAAGTTAAAACTCGGTTTTAAAAGCCTGACCGTGGCTTGGTCACAGAACTGAAAGCCAAGACTTGGCCTTAAAAGTATGGTTAAAGCTTGGTCAGAGACTTGGAAGCCAAGATTCGGTTTTGGAAGCCATGACTCGATCTTGAAAGTCCGACTGAAAATTCGTCAGAGATTTGTGAGCCAAGATTCGGTCTTAAAAGTCGGGCTGAAGCTTGGTCAGAAATTTGGAAGCCAAGACTAGGTTTTTTAAGCCTGGCCAACGCCTGGGCCAATATATCTAATACGAGAGAAATCATTCCAACGTATAGCCAAGCTTTGCCATGTCAGTCTTGGCATTTCCTACATACATGGGCTTAAGCGCTTTTTAACCTTATATATTTCAAAAAATTCAGGGTGAAACAATAAATGTGTATATTAGGGGTGTGCGATATTCAAATTTACGAATATTCCAACTATTCAAATAATTCAAACTATTCGAATCAGTCCCAAGTAGCATTATAGTATCGAAAACTGATATCGCAACTTCAAATGACAATGGCAATTACGTTAAAATAACTAAATCTACCACGAAATATCTAAATTAGCACCATTACGTTATAATAATTTTACTATTCAGTGTCTGTTTAATTTCCAGTTTCAGAGAAATAAATAATATGCTGGAAAGAGACGAGGATAGAAAGTAAAGAGTAGTATAGTTTCGCTTAAGTTTTGGTATCTAACACTAAAAAAGTGTTCTTCATTTTGGTCACTTAATAAAACCGTTTGAACCACGTAGCCACGTGACAAAGATTTTGGCATTACACTTTACAGTTCCAAGTTTACGTGTCCGTTATATTTCATCCACTAAAAATGCTACTTTGGCGAATTATTCAAACCCGTCGAATAATTCTAACTAATCGAATAGATTGAAAATTCAAATAGTACGAATATTTAATTAAAATAAAGCAGTAATCATACACCCCTAATATATACAGGGTGTCCAATACTGCATGGACATACAGCAACCACCTATTCCTGAGGTTAAAATAAGTCGATCGGACTAAACTTCTATACCAAAATGCTTCGTTGAAAGTTCAATGAAAACTTTAGTTTTTTCGAATTAGCTCAAAATCACGGGAAGGAATAAAATAGTGGTCCATTAAAATAAATAAAATAAAAGTTTAATTTTATTGGATTGCAATCATTGCAAGGGTAGTAGAAACGCTATTCCCATTTTTTTGTCTGAAAGATACCTACCATTTTCACACACTTTCTGATTCTTGCAAATTTTCTTAATGTTAGGTAGGTAATTATTTTATCTAATTTTACAAAATGTGTTCAATATGGCCTCCGCATTGGACCTTACAAAGTTCCAACCGGCGCAACAAATTTAATTGAACTTTTAGAACGGCTGCATTTTCCAAACTTTTGCAGTGTTCTGGATTCTCACCCACAAACGTTCAATGTTTTAGATTTTTACATTATACTCTTAACGTTTTAATGCTCTTCTGAAAAAAAATCTAAAACGTTAAAAACATTTAAATTAAGCTGTTTTAAGAAGAGTTTACGAATACGATAGGTACTTAGTATACAAAATTAATCCCGGCGCATTCGCCATTTTTGCAATGATTTTTTGTTCGGACACGATATTAGTCGCTATGAGAAAATGTTTTAAAAATTCTAGGGTGTAATAGAGGCACTTAAAAGACAACAAATTAAAAATATTGACCGTCTGGTTTCCGAGTAAGTTGCTCTTATCGTTTTTTATTGATAAACTGTGTTGTAAATGTTAACAAAATGTATATGCCACTTCTAAAGGTGCATAAGAGAAAATAAATCATCATTTCTTATTAGATATGCGCTAATTAAATACATCTACTATACAGCCCATGTCTTTAATTATTGCATATCTTATAACGACATTGAACAATCAATGAATTTTTTTTCTCGTATACATGTAGAAGTGCCCTATAAATTTTTGTTAACATACTCATATTTTTATACCCTTTCATAATATTTTTTTGTAGTGGACTCCATTCGATTTCACGACTCATTTTTAGATTTTTTATAACACTGCACATAGAACTGTTACTGTCACTGTCAACAATTTGCAATGTTTTCCGTTTAAATCCTATTTTTTACACTTTTTAAGTTTTTGTGTAACAATATATATATATGTTTTAAAATAATTATAAAATTGTCTGTTTCTTAATTCAAATTTAATAAAATAATAAAATAAATTTTATTTTTGCAAGTTGGTATTTATTGCTATTTATGTAATAGGTAAAAAAACAACTCCCCTTATCCTTTACCCTGCAATGTAATGCCCGAACCTCCTTAATTGACAAATATCAAGAGCTAATTTTTTACAAAATATTCATAAATTATATACCCAAACCTTTCTGGGGGGACTTTATAAAGTGTAGAAAAGATTTATAATAATAAAACTAAAAATTTTACAGTTTTATTATTTGTGTCGGTCAGTATATTTTGGGCGCTAACTTAATATAAGTAAACGTTTAATGAAAATCCCTCTATACCGGGTGTATCTGAGAATAGGCGCACCCCTGTAACTTTTTTATTTATAAAGATAGACACATGAAATTTAGCATGGTTAATTAGGATATAAAATGCCACTTATAAGAGTACAAAATTATTTTTTTGAACTTCCGATTTTTTGATGGAATGCCGTATATATTTTTAAATATTTGAAATCCTTAGGAAATTCTGAGTCAGACAGCCTCCTCAAATTGACCTTTTGACGTTTCCTCATCAGAAAATGCATCATCATAAAGATCAATCTAGAGTTCTTTGAACTATCTTATTTTCTTCTAATGAATTCACAAAATGCCTGAAAAATGGAACTTGCCTTAGAAAGTTGCTATTCAGCTATTCCCTGCAGTCTAAACTTGTCAAAATTCGTTTTTCTCAAATAGTTCAAACCACCCTAGATTGATCTTTATGATGATGCATTTTCTGATGACGAAACGTCAAAAGGTCAATTTGGGGATGCTGTCCTCAGAATTTCCTAAGGATTTCAAATATTTAAAAATATATACGGCATTCCATTAAAAAGTTCAAAAAAATAATTTTGTACTCTTATAAGTGGCATTTTATATCCTAATTACCCATCCTAAATTTCATGTGTGTATCTTTATAAATAAAAAAGTTACAGGGGTGCGCCTATTCTCAGATACACCCGGTATATGACAAAAATAATTTTGAAAAACACGAAATTGTTTTTCAAGTCTTCAGGATGAGTAGAGAAGTACTGACCCTAAGTACTTGTTTTCTTTTTTGGGCGATCGTTTACTAAAATCCGTAATTCATTCGTTCCTCATTAATTGTTTTATAAATTACAGTAATTTTAATCAGTAGAAGTCCTTGGGTTTTCGGGAGGACGGCGTCGAAACGGTCTCTTCGAGCATCTTCGTCGTTTCCGTCGGACTCGCGGCCGAACTGTCCGGCGACGAAGGTTTGGCAACACCACCGGCGCCGTTGTTGCCGTTGTCAGGGGGCGTCGTTGGAACCTAAATACAAGTAAGGCTTGTAATTTTATTAACTGTAGCCGATCGATGGAATATATTTTTTTAATTGTGTTTTACTCGACGTGGTTAGTTATAAGCATCCCAGTAAACACACATACGTTAATTAAACGTTTTTTTAAACCGTAACACCAATTTGTTTTTACGTAAATTTTTAACGTACAATCAACTTTCAAATGTCGCAGATTATAACGTTTAACAATACTAATAAATAAACGTTTAATTTTGGCGTTAAGAAAACGATCATTACACGTTTCGAAATTTTACATTTAGAACGTTTAATATACGTCTATTAATAACGTAAATTAATGATTGTTTATAACGTTTATTTATACGTTATATTTAAATTCATATTAATGTCCTTTCCAACGTTAGTTCTATAATAAATAAAACTCCACAAATACTTGTTTTTACAACGTATTTATTAAACGTTCGTTTAACGTTAACTGCAACATGAATACAGGTTGTAGACAATGCTTTTTTTAAATGAAGGAAAGGTTTTGGAGGTATCTCCAGTCGTCTTTGTTGTTCAACAGGTTAAATTCAAAAATTTGTATTGTAGAACATCGCTGGGCTGAAATTTGATAAAAAAACGGTATTTTTAGCGCACCCGGTATAATAAGAGTGTTCTCAAAATACTAATTTACAATACGTACACCAGGTCTTGTTGAATAGATCTATAACCAGAGCAAATGTATCTTATCGAGCCGACTTAAGTGTGATTTTACTAGAGAATTCTCTAGTAAAATCACGCCTAATTCCAATTTACGGTAAAAATACACGACCGCCCCTAAATTTGGAAATAATGGACTCTTTCCACAATTTTAACATCTGTACATTTATGACTAATGTGTTTAATCTAAATCAGTTTAATGTTAACTTAATGTTAATTTAACTTAAATGTTAATTTGTGTGAGTTAATATTTACCTACCCCACTATACTTAATAAACATTGAAAACACGTAGAAAACGTCTTTAAAATTAACATATTAACTCTCATATTATTCTAGGACGCTGCACAAATTATAATAAGAACAAAATCACACTCCCCCGAAAATTAGGAAATAAAGCAATGAATCTGCGTGATATTAACAGTGTGTATGTTTTAAAACAATTACATTAAAGTACTTACCAAAAGCAGGACGAATCTTACGAGCAGAAAACACCTTTTGATAGCAAAATCAAATTGAAAACTGACCCAGCGAGCAGCTATGGCATGGCAGGCCCAATCACATGATGTGTATTCGGCCAATCAGATTGCGTTCTTCAGTTATGCGTTTTATATGGTTATGTATAAACGTATTAAATACGTTTATTTAAACGTATTAAGTACGTTTGTTTAACGTATTAAATACGTTTGTTTAAAGGTATTAAGTACGTTTGTTTAAACGTATTAAGTACGTTATTTTTATCTATTACAGTAACTGTCTAGTTTAAATAATGTTAATAAAATAATGCACTTCTTAAAGCAACATTTGTGGATGTGTATAGTGTTCTGCCTAAAGCTTACTGTATGACCATGGACTATAGAATTACTTATGCTTTTCTTTAGAATGTAATTAGAAAATTTCTAAATTTTATTTAATGTTGTTTATATAATATATATATTATATATGTATACCTATGTATATTGTTTATGTATGTATACATGTTGCATCAGTTTATTAAATATTAAACGTTATAAATTATTTTTAAACAAGTTATCCCATTTTAGAGAAAAACGATGTGGATGAAAGTAGGTATATTTGTATTTGACAAAAACCGTTTTATTAACGTTATAAAAATATACTTTTGAAAAAGTGAGAAAGTTAAATTATTCATTTAACATTCATTCATAATTCATTTTTTTAACGAACAAAATTCTTAGATTTTATACCTTCAGATTTTAAATAAGAAGTCATATTGTCTACATGTGTAAACTAAGCAAAAATTTCACAAAATAAATATATAAAAAGTAATTTTAAAAGTGTTCGATGGAGCGTGTTGAATATAACATAGTATAAATGTTAAAAGAAAGAGCTGCCTGCACAGTTCATAAAATAATTACTTCAAACGTTATTTTCTCATTAATATTTGTGAAAAAAAATTGTGGGTTGAAACGTAATTTAAACATGTAAATGTATGGTTGACTGAACACCTCAATACAACGTTATTGTAACGTAAAAGTTAGCCACTATTAAAAGCATATTTAAATTAACGTTGTTTTAACGTTTAAATTAATTGGTGTAAATTTATACCAATATCAAACCGTTGCTTTTTCCACGTAAAACGTTTTATTGACCTTTCACACGTTTTAAATACGTTTAAAAAACGTGTATGTGTTTACTGGGATGGTACCATGGTTTGAATAAGTCTTTTTAAGAAACTGCATTTTAGGTACAAACTATAATAATATTAGTATGTTTCAAATGGACATTTTACCTGAGGTGCTATGGATTTAATTCTCGTTTTGCTTCTTCTTTTCTTTAGTATGGTGGCTCCAAGACCAGTCCCTTCGCTTGTACTCGATCGAGGTATTAATTCTGTAGGCCTCTCGGGGTTTGTAGGTTTAGGTTTACCTTCCTCGCCCTGGGGCGATTGAGTTTTTGAACCTAAAAATGTGTATTTTTTAAATTTAATACAAAAATAATCACGCAAAGATTAGCAAATGGCAATAAAACACATACTCTTAAAAGTTGATTTGGTCGGTTTCTGTATAAAAACCTAAACTTAAAAATGTATACAATTATCTAAAATAACAGGAAATATATATTATGTATAGTATACTTTGTATACAAATAAACCCTTAACTGGTGATGAGGGGTCACACGATTCACATAATATTATGAATATTTTAAATCAGAGGGCTTTTGGGCAATATGTGTGCTTCAGTCAGCGCCGGATTTAGGGGGTCTTTGGAGTTCTATAGACCCGGGGCGCAAGATTTTTAAGAAATTTAGGGGGGCAAAATTTTTGACTCGTATTTTTTTTACTACAACCAAAACAGCTTTTCACCTTTTTATTTTTCGTGTAATAATAATAACTACTGTATTAATTAGTAATAAAAAAATCTTTAAATCACAACCGTGATTGTATTCATAGTATACGGAATATGTCATACTTAACCCGACAAGTTTTTGTGGGCGAAAAGTATACTTTTACTATAGTTTGCAGAAATTGATTGATTTGTACACTGACGTCTGCTGACGTTTAAATTACGTTTGCTGACGTTTAAATGACGTTAGAAACGTCATTTAAACGTCAGCAGTGTGCTACCTGGGTATTATTCAGTTAAACGTAAAAAACAGTATACTTCATCAAACCTTTAGATAATTAATATATTATTTAACAATCTAATTTTATTAACAAATGGCGACACCAGTAGCCAAATTAATTTTTTTAAGTTCATATAGGGTGTATTAGGAATAATGGGATGCTCCAAAACTTGAAAATGAAATATCTTTGAATTTTGACCTGATACAGCTAAACCAAGCAATGGATTTGTAATCTACGACCAAAAATTAAGTTTACGTGTCCGAGCATTTAGCTGTGATATTTTCACCTCCCTACAGTGTTAGTTAACATGATTTTACCTAAGAAATTTAGTGGTTTTCAAGGAAAACGTAAATCTGAAAAGCAAGATACTGTAATTTTATTGTAAATTATTGACTTAATCCTTCAAAAAATAAACTTGTTGAATGGTGTTACATGACATTGTTTTTATATAAAAATTATTTCTGCTCCTTGTGTCATAATTATGAACTTAAGAAGTATACGTAATGTTATTCGAAATATAATTAGGTACCTAACAGACAGTTTTTTTTATTTTGTGTATAAACTAAAACCTTCTAAAGATAATTTTCTTTACTGACATAAAATTCAAAACATTAAACATGGTTACAATGGGTGTATATCTAAAATAGCTGGAGTGGCTCGATGTTTTGCCTTTTTGGAATGTCACCTTGTTTTAAATTAAATACAATTGAATCGGTGAGATTAAGAAGAGTACAAGTCAAAAAGTGAAAATTTTGACAAATTATTTTCTAAAATTAGCTTTATATTCCAAAATGCATTTTTGTGAGAGTATTTCAACCATTTTATAAAATATAATAATCATATTTTCTAAAATAATTTATATCTTCTCACAAAATAGAATTTTAAACTTTTAAATTGATTTTAGAAAATTATTTGTCAAAAATCTCACCGATTCAATTGTAGAGCAAAATTCCAAGCGTGACACAATAATTGAGTTTTAGATCAAAATTTTAACATTCATACTTAATGATTTTCCAACTCTACTTAAAAAGTAAACTTTTTTGACATTTTATTCATTAAGTAAATTGATTAAAGTAAATTCATTAAGTAAATTGCATGATTTTTGAATAAAGTTTTATCAATAATCACATCTAAATATTTTATTTCTGTCACTGTAACGCAACTTTTAATATTTATCCGTTTAATTACCTTTTTATTTAGTTAACTTAATTTTTCTTCAATTTGCCTTAAGTACCTTGAGCATAGAGAAAGTTCCCAATGGGGAAAAGAAAAAATAATAATTGGGCGCCACCAACCATTTTAATTTTTAGCCACTTAGGTTGGTGCGTGTTCCGATGTTAGGGAACTCTACTTAAGTATAGGTATAACTATGAGAAATGAAATGTTGTTGATGTTAAAACGAATTTGTATCTTTAATTGTCGGATTATATTTACAGTAGGTTTGTATTTTATTATCTCTCGTAATCACAATTGGTTTACACTAAAAGTTGATTTATGTTTAAAACTACCATGAATTAAATCCAACTATTTTTCTCATAGAAGAAACCGTCTCTCCTTGTAAGTTACTAAAACCTCGTACCTTAAGTTTGTAGGTGAGTTTATCGTTAAGTAATTTAGATAGATCCATTATAAAAATTAGCATCCAACGACAGACTTAATATCAGTAAAAAATATAAAAATAAGAATATATATTTTTTTATGAAGACAATGTAGTTGAAGACTAAATTTATCTATTATTTATCTTTGTATTTAAGATTTAATAATATTAAATCTTAAATATTATTGATATTTAATCAGTTACTGATATATTGGAATATTAGAATTATTTTTTTTCGATTCCTTGCCTTTACAAAAAAATACATATTCTTATTTATATATATTTTTGTAAATATTTATCATTTGCTATTACAAAGACAATTAGTGTTGTGTTATTCTTGTACTTTAACCATTTGCATTAGCCCATATTGAAAAATTATTTTTAAGTATTTTTTACCATAAAAACTTTCTTTTAATACCCTATTAAAAAATAAATATATTTTTTGTTTTTTTTCTTGGTGTTAAAAATATAGCAATATTAACAACACAAAAAATCAAAAAGTGAATCGAATATAAATGAATCAAAGTGGGTAGTTCTTACTTGGTTCAGGCGTAATCCTCTTAAGGATCTCGGACATCATGTCCTCCATTCTGTTGAACTTCTGGTTGAGCTTTTGTATTTCGAGTTTGACGTCGACCTTGAAGTCCATCAGGTTGGTGATGATCTCCTTGTATTCGACGGGCGCGACCGGCTCCTGGACGGCTGGCTGATACATGGACGCAGTCGACGGGTCCCGCAGACCGCAGTCGTACGACTGCATCTTGCGCAGCGACAGGTTGCGCGAATGCGTCTGCTCCACCTCGCCCATCTCGTCTATCGTGTCCTGACGGGTGATACCTAAAAACAAATTTAAATGATACAGAAAAAACAAATTAGATTGACATAATTAGCAAACAATAAAAAACCTTTATAATTAAAAAAGACAACTTTGGTGATATGTAAAAGAAATATTAGAAATATTCTACTCTCTAAAAATAAAACAGTGGATTTTCACTGATTGACAGTGCATATTAACTATTTGCCGCAGTGATAAGTATACCACTAGCAATTAGTGAATACTTACTTTTTCATGTAGCGATTTCTTTGCACTAATTTATTTAGTGGAAATTACACTGTACAAATTAGTGAAATAGGTTTAGTTCAAAAAAGTTAAAATTTCACTATTTTATGTCGAGTTCCGGAAAAGTAGTGATAATAAAAAACACTAATTTGGAGAAGTTAAAATTTTACTTATTTATATTGAAAAACACAATTTTTCAGTGAATAATAACTCACTGACGGAAATAGTGAAAATTTCACTGTTTCACTTTTAGAGAGTAGGTACAATTGGCGTCTCCGAAATGTGAACGATTTTTTGTTGTCATGGATTTTTTTCATAAAATTTATTCGTTCATTCCTGGCTTCGACCAGTGGTGTTACATATAGAAGGGAGAATACTAAGAATAAGAACAATATCCTAAATCGTTCTATTTTTTGAATAATATTTTAACAAACAATAATATGAACAATATAACAAATAAATTAACTTTAATTTGGTTTTATACAACAATATAAATTAACAAGTAGGTAAATACACAATAAAAATAACATAACTAAATTAACATACTGCTCAAGAAAATTGGTTTTTAAGTGAAATAGCGGCAGATTTAAATGTCAGTAAAAGCTGCATATTTTATATCAAAAAACGTTGGCAAAAACAACAAAGATTGAGAAGACCTATCAGGCAAGGTGTAGGTAAAATCGTTCTATTTTTTTAATAATATTTTAACAAACAATAATATAAACAATATAACAAATAAATTAACTTTAATTTGGTTTTATAAAACAATATAAATTAACAAGTAGGTAAATACACAATAAAAATAACATAACTAAATTAACATATTGCTCAAGAAAATTGGTTTTTAAGTGAAATAGCGGCAGATTTAAATGTCAGTAAAAGCTGCATATTTTATATCAAAAAACGTTGGCAAAAACAACAAAGATTGAGAAGACCTATCAGGCAAGGTGTAGGTAAAATCTCCAACGAAAATGAAGACAATGCTCTTGTCGCACTTATTAGGCAAAATCCTTTCAATAGCGCATTTAAGGCCCGAGAAGATACACAATTTCCAGGATCTCTTCGAACAGCTCAAAAAAGATTGAAACAAGCTGGCTTAAAAAACTGTGCTGCTAAGCTATTTTAATACTTAATTGCAGAGCCATTAGCTGCCACAACCCTTTGCAACCTTCTTGGCATGGACATTATTAGCTCACGCATGTCGTATGAATCAGCAAGCTCATCCCAAGAATTTTCAACAGCACTCCATAGTTCATCTCGGTTTGCTGGCCTAAAGTCCCGTTGATATATATTTTTAACTATAAAACCCCACACCTTTTCAATGGGGTTTAAGTCAAGGCTTCTAGCTGGCCATGGCAAAACAGTTATGTGGTTGTTGTTTACCCACTCTGTAACCACGCGAGCTGTGTGAACTGGTGCATTGTCCTGTAATATAATATTTATTAGAATCGTTTTTGAATACTATACAGTTTTCTTACATGTTGAAATATAAAGTTTTCTGGAAACACATGTCTAACTGAAGGTAGCATAACGTTGTCCAAAATCCTGGTATAGTGCTCAGCCGTTAATCTACCATCAATTTCCCAACATACTCCCGGACCATGGATGCTTATCCACGCCCAAACATTTATGGAAAAGCGTCCACTATTTGAGGTTTTTAATGTATAGTTCTCCTCAAATCTTGCGTTTCTTGGACGATATACACGCAGCCTTCCATTATTGCAAGATTGGAACGTTTTTTCATCCAAAAATATAACATTATTCCAAAAATCTTCTCCATAATTTAAATAGTCATTGGCGAACTGGACTCTCCTGCGCTTATTTTCTTCAGTTAAAAAAACCTTATGAGCAGCAGCACAGTTTTTTAAACCAGCTTGTTTCAATCTTTTTTGAGCTGTTCGAAGAGATCCTGGAAATTGTGTATCTTCTCGGGCCTTAACTGCGCTATTGAAAGGATTTTGCCTAATATGTGCGACAAGAGCATTGTCTTCATTTTCGTTGGAGATTTTTCCTACACCTTGCCTGATAGGTCTTCTTAATCTTTGTTGTTCTTGCCAATGTTTTTTGATATAAAATATGCAGCTTTTACTGACATTTAAATCTGCAGCTACTTCACTTAAAGACCAATTTTCTTCTAATTTGGCTATTGCCCTGGACCTCTGTGGGGTGGCATTTTTAATATTGCAATTGACAACTATTATCAAATTTGACAACTACCGACGACACTGATGCAAAGCCCATATTACACGATTAAATTTTGCCGTTCACATTTCGGGGACGCCAATTGTACAACACAAAAACAAAACAAAAAGTGCTTAAAGTAATTTTCGCCAACGATGTTCAGAAGCGAAGTGTAGTCTACCATATTTATACTAATTATAAGCTAAGGTTGACTGAACCGTAAACGGATACAGTTTTGGTAAACCGTGGACTGTAACCGTAAAGAGAAATAAAAAAACTAATTTATACAAACTAGAGTTAGGTACCGGTCCGTTATCGCTATTTAAAGATTTATTTATATTCTTATAGATGTATAATAGGGTGTGCCAAAAAAACCTACTATTTTTTTTTACTTTGTACTCTGAAAAATCGGTTACTAGACACCTCTAGAGAATACTCACCAAACATGAGCTCTTAATTTTGATAACAAGGTTCTCCGCTTTACAATTTTCCATTTTTTTTCAGTATTAGAAACAAAAATTCATATCTCTTCGACAACTGTTCGTTAAATGTCTCTCCTGTAGGAAATCGAACGCTCTACAAAAAAGGTCTCTTACAATTTTTTCGTAAACCTCACCGTTTAAAAGATATCGAAGGTTAAAGTTTAATTATTTTAAGAGAAATTTCTGTTTTACTTATGAATTTTATAACTCACTTTTTTTATGAATCGCGCAATATGTAGGACTAAAAAAAACGAGAAAAATAGTTTCTCTTTTAATAACTTAAATTTGTATAAATTATCGTAAAACTCAAAAATTAAATTAAAATTTTTCGAATTATTCAACAAAAACTGTTAAAATTAGTATGGATTGAAGTTTGATGATGAATATCTTTTAAACGCTTAATGTAATCGACAAAAGAGACCATTTTTGTAGAGCAGTTAATTTCCTACAAAACTATGAGTTGCGCGATTCATAAAAAAATTTTGTAAGTGAGTTATAAAATTCATGAGCAAAACATAAATTTCTCTTAAAATAATTAAACTTTAACCGTCGATATCTTTTAAACGGTGAGGTTTACGAAAAAATTGTAAGAGACTTTTTTTGTAGAGCGTTCGATTTCCTACAAGAATATGAGAACAGTTGTCGAAGACATATGAATTTTTGTTTCTAATACTGAGGAAAAAATGGAAAATTGAAAAGCGGAAAACCTTTTTATCAAAATTAAGAGCTCATGTTTGGTGAGAATTCTCTAGAGGTGTCTAGTAACCGATTTTTCAGAGTAAAAAGTAAACAAAAAATGGTAGGTTTTTTTGGCACACCCTAATGTATAAACTTTCATAACTATCTAGCAGACTTGGTTCCCTAACTTTCTTAATAAGTTTAAGGTTGTTAAATTCTATTCTATGACCATCATCAACTATATGTTGGGCAACGCTCGATTTCTCTGTCCTACCAAATCTAACATTGGCCAAGTGCTCTTTGAACCTTACTTGGAAGGATCGTTTAGTTTGTCCAATATATTTTTTGTCACAATCTTGATAGTTTATTTCGTAGATCCCCGACTTTTCAATTTAAGAAAACTTATCTTTGGGGTTACCTACAAGGGTCTGAAGTGTGTTACTGCTTGAACTAAAAGCACTGTTGTTCGAAACTTCCTTAAACTTATTAAGGAAATAGGAAACCAAGTCTGCTAAAAGTTTTTAAATGTATAAGAATAGAAATAAATCTTTAAATAGCGATAACGGACCGGTACTTAACTCTAGTTGGGATAAATTAGTTTGTTAGTTTCTCTTTACGTGTTTACTGAAGCGGTTATGGTCAACGGTTTAGTAAACTGTGTCCATTCACGATTCAGTCAACCTTAGCTTATAATTAGTATAAATATGGTAGATTTAGCAGTTAGATTTAGTTACACTTCGCTTCTGAATATGCCAACATCGTTGGCGAAAAGTACTTCAAGCTATTTGTGTTTTGTTTTGGTGTTGGGGAATATTTCTTTTGTTTAATAAAAATACCTTTTATAATTAGAATTTAAAAAACAGAAGTTTATTTAAAATCATATTTTAAAAAACAAAAATAACTACATTTAAATAAAAATACTAATTTTAAAAAATAATAAATAACCATTATAAAATGCTTTTTCTTACTACCTCGACTCAAAATACGTTGTTTCGTCCCCGATTTCACGGCAGAAAGTTTACGTTTCTTGCATTGGTCAAGCTATACGCGCACACTCTAATAGCGGGAGTAAAAATTTTTTAGTCGTGTGCTTAACATTCAAATTTCGTACTGCCAACATGAGAAACACAAAAATATGACAGTTTTAAACCATAATTTTGCAATTATAACAACAAATAAACAATTTATGTTTTTACTTTTTTACTTTTTATGTTGTTTTAAGTGTTTAATGGTACTTTTATTTGTTATAAAGTAGTAATTTGTTAATTAAAATACAACCTTTTATTTTTACTGTATTGGCAACGCTGAATTACCATGACAACGCTACAGTTTGATTGATTTTGAATGTAAACGTCAGAATTAAATTAAACGTCAGATTTTAATTTTGACACAAGTTTTTTTATATACATTTAATTTTTTCCCGTATTTTCTGCGGGGTAGCAAGAAAAATAGTATACACTACACGGGCAGAAAGTGTGAGAGCCCTGAACTGCGCGCCATGATGCCCTCGGCTTCGCCTCGGGCATCATGGCGCGCAGTGCAGGAATCTCACACTTTCTGCCCTTGTAGTGTAATATACTATTTAAATAAAAAAGAAAATACAATTATTGTATTTCTATTATAGTTAACAAATTAATTAATTAAAAAACAGCAATAAAAAAATACGTGTCGAAATCACGTACCATAAACAGACATAAACCGGATGGATTAGCCAAAGCTATACTGGGCCAATTTGTACCGGTGACGAAAAAAATTATAACATGTATTTTAAATATTAAAACCGTACTTGGTTTATAAAATACGACTCATAGCCTTTTAGCCTACTATAGTTTATACTTACCAGAAAAACGGCGATGTTTGATTCCCCCTTATTACAAAAAAAATATAAATCAAATAATAAACATAAATAAAATAAAAATAAATGTTTAAAAAACATTAGAAATTACTTTTAAATTAATAAACCTAAAAAATAAAAGATTTTATGCAAAATTATATTAAATTGTACAAAATTTTTAAGAAATTAATATAAAATAAATAAGTTCCTAGTGTTGTTTCATAAAATAATACTTTAACTCATTTAATACTTTCATGCATTTTCCAAAAGCTCAAAGTACAAGTTTTATTTAAAATTTATTTTATATTCTTTTATTTCCACCTTCTTAGTAAATGACACTTTATAGGTTAATTTGTTGTTTTTGTATCCAAGTAAACGATACATTATGAGAACAGACCTGTAATATTTTACGGGCTTGTATAAAAGACCTGTAAAGTTTTACAGGCTTGTAGAAAAAGCAATTTATGAAATGAAATGACACATTTGACACATTAATTGAAATATTTAAATTTAAAAATCGTTATCTAAAGGTGAAAATAAAAATTTGTACGTGTCACGCTTTGCAATTAATCTTTACTAGTCTCACTGGATTATGGGTTCGCTCCTGCGTCGCTTACCCACAAACTTCCAGCTCGCCCGTAAAGATTCATTTACAAAGCTTGACACGTAAATAACCAAACCAAAGGCTTTGTTATCTATGGTAAATAACTATTACATGACTTTACCGAACCACCGCAGTGGTCCAATAAATTTTTAAATTAAATAAGTAGGTACTTAATTCCCAAGACCTGACTGAAATTTGTATACATTGTATTACCCTACTAAAACGTTTCTCGGAATTTATTCAAAGAGGCTTTTTTTAAATTTCGTTAATAAACTTGCATACATTTTTTTTTGAAATAGTATACAACGACATATAAATATATACTTTTTATAATAGGTACCTATAAAAGCGTAAAATTGTTAGAACTTGACAGTGACAATGTCATGGTCAAATTTAAAAAACGCCAAGATAGCAAAACCAATCCTTTTACAAAAAAAACTGGGCTTTGATAGCTATTGATACGGGAGCTAGCAACGTTTGGAAAACAAGAATTTTAGGTCAGTTGATTTTTTGATATGCTGTCTTTCTTGCTCTTTCGGTTGGAGTCTGGGCTACCTGGCTGGCGGTAGCGGTTGCGTTTATTACTGCGCATCTTACCTGTACAGGTAATAATTCTGGATTTTAAAACAATTTTTTAAAGCGTAATTTTTAATTTTTTGCCTTTAGATAGATCTACCAGACAGCAATTTTTTATTGCCAGACATTTTTATTGTTGTTAATTATGTGCTAAACGCCAATTTTTATTTTTTTTAAATATAAAATTCAAAGTATTTTCGAATGTCTGTAATTTTTATGTTATGTTATTTAAGCATAAAATAATCTAAAATTAATTTGCCAGACGTTAATTCGATTGTTAAATATAAAATACAAATAATGAAAAGTATCGCAGTATGATGCCTGTGGTTAGAGAGAGGCAGTTTAAAGTGCAAGAGAGATAGAAAGCGACGGCAGCGCATCGGCTAGTGTATAACAGAATATTATTACTTACACTCCTTCTTGTAAGTACAAGTTGAAATGAAAAATGTTTAACATAAAATTAAAAATAAAATTAAGAATAAATTGGAAATAATCAAATTAAAAATATATCATAGAAGTTGCAAACATTACATATTTATTTAAAAAGTACTGATTATCACACGTGAATTACAAATATTTAATGAAAAGTTAAGTTTTTTTTAATAAAATTTTAAAATCTCTTCAGTCTATAATCGCGTCACAAAAAAAGGAGGCATCTTCATAATCATCATCATCACCATCTTCGCTCTCACTGTCAGAATTATTTATATCATCGTCTTGTCGTCATTGTCTTCCACTGTAAACTGGTATTATTTTCCAAACAATAAGAACTATTCAATAAGCTCGGTAACTCCGATGGAAGAGCGCCCGCTATGTATGCCAGAGATACCAGGTTCGATTCTTAGCCCCTACAACTTTTTTTTATTTTTATTTATATAGCGAAAAGGATTAATATTTAATTTTACATTAATATTTTAAATTATTTACCCTTCCTCATAATCATTTTACTACAGTTATAAAATATAATATGTAATTATATGAATATTCCTTCGTTGAAAAATTGGGCGGGGGGAGGGTGGAGCGGGGTCGGTTGGGTTGGGTTATTGAGTTTGGGTTGGTTTCGAAGCATTGCAAGAAGTAATTCTTTACTTAGATTATTATAATAAACCCTACATTAAATGTCCGCGTGAAGATTGTCGATAACGCGCATGTCTGCGAAAAGTAGCCGGCGCTGGCGCTAGACGCTTGTCAAATAACGCAAACACAAAACAAACATGTGACTTTAGACTGACGTCATGTTGTCCACTTCTTTCTATCTTGCACTTTAAACTATCTCTCTCTAACCTCAGGTATCATACTGCGATACTTTTCATTACTTTTTTATTTGTATTTTATATTCAACAATCAAATTAACGTCTGGCAAATTAATTTTAGGTTATTTTATGCTTAAATAACATAATATAAAAATTACAGACTTTCGAAAATACTTTGAATTTTTTATTTAAAAAACATAAAAATTCGCGTTTGGCACATAATTAAAAACAATAAAAATGTCTGGAAATAAAAAATTGCTGTCTGGTAGATCTATCTAAAGGCAAAAAATTAAAAATTACGCTTTAAAAAATTGTTTTAAAATCCAGAATTATTACCTGTACAGGTAAGATGCGCAGTAATAAACGCAACCGCTACCGCCAGCCAGGTAACCCAGACTCTAACCGAAAAAGCAAGAAAAAAAATCAACTGACCTGAAATTCTCTCTCGAAAACGTTGCTAGCTCCTATAATGGTTGCTTATTTGTAAACTTCGTAAAAAAAAACGTGATGGACATTCAAGAAGATATCAAAGAAAATATTCGTGAAAAAGTATATCAAGTACTTCAAATTTAACTCAACAGTAAAAATGTGGAAACAATATCCGAAGATATTTTACTCTGCTATCGAAAAGTAACGCGCACTTTATGGACAAAAATTTCGAAGTATTACGAGAAAATCTAAGTAATTTTTTGGATTTTTTTTGCCGCCGCGACAAAATTGTTTACTTGACAATTGATAACATTAAAGAAGTTGGACACTTTATAATTGTGAAACTACAAGACACAAGAATAAATATTACCGAAACTACACAATTACGGAAGACGTTACTCCTTTTAGGACTCGTGCTCTGTATAAAAAATATGCCTTAAATTTCCAAAGTCGACGCTTTTTTGTAGACTACAGAAACAGAAAATGCACAAAACAGCTTGTAGGAATTCACAAAATAGGAGTTCCACAAAAATTGCAACAATTTTAAACTTGGAGAATTCTGAATGTTACACAGGGCATTTCCTTAGGAGATCGTCAGCCAGTATGTTAGCGAAAAACCGTGGGGATCTCATTACCTTAAAATAATTTTGTGTCTGGAAATCTTCAGCAGTTGCTGAACAGTATGTTAAACAATCAATTACCAAGATACTTAAAATTTTCATTTCAAATCAACGGACAATGATTCTTTAAGCGTGTGAGTAAATCTAGTCCCAGTTAACCAAAATCAGTTAAAAAAATAATTGCCATAGTTATACAAAAATTATAAGGAGGTATAAGTATTCACGTTAATAAGAATCTAAAATACTAAAAAAAACTATAGAAATAAAAATTTAAAAAACGAAAGGGAAGTTATATTAAAATTCTTAGTCTTACCTGGGCTACTTGTGGTGGACACCTTCTGCAGCTTGGGGAAAATCTTGTTTCCTGACCCGCTGGTCGACTGAGTGATGGAGCTACCCGACGAGGATGAACTCGGCCTGTCCTTCGGGTCCTTGGCGCTCTGACTCCTGGTGAAAGTTGTGGCGTTGGGCGCCGACGTTTCTGAGCTGGAATCCAAGCTGGCTGAACCCAGAAGTCGACCCCACTTGCTACCCCGCATGCTGCTCGGCCTTTGTAAAGTCGTTTTGACTCCCGTGTTGCTCGAGTCGTCCTTTTCGGCTACTGAAGAAAGTTTTGTGGTGGAGATGCCTCGAGCTATACCTGCAGTAAATATTTTTAATTACAATTTACCAACTAAAAAAAAACAATTTAATTAGGATTTTCCGAATAATTAGGACCATAAACTTCAGTCTAAATAAATGTTTACAAAGTTAGTTGTCAGTAGGTAAAACCGAATTCCATAACTTGAATAGCACGCTAGGTCTAAATTCAGTCTATATTGACCGGATTAGCACCACGGTTTTTCTGACAGATTTTGAAAAAATATATTAAAATAAGCTTAAACACCCGTTTATAGCAAAATTGCCCGAGCCGTTTCGTCGGAAATCGAAATTTAGAGCAAAAAATTACAAAAATTAATAATTTTACTTGCAAATCAATCAGGATTACTAAATAAGAACAGCAGCTACACCCACCACAGTATTTGTTGAATGTCCAAAATCTGTTCCAATCTTTAAAACCTCTTTTGCACGAATTTGTTTATCTCGTTTTTTTGTATTATTATTGAGTGTAACTTTCGGAGGTTTACCATGGCGTCGAGATAAGTGCATTTCAGCACACAGTTCTTGAATATTGATATTGCTTATATTTTTAATCAGATCAGTTAATAAATGTTCCTATACTTTTTGAGGCAATTCTGATTGAAATGACTCGACTAGATTTGCATAATTGTGCGTTTTATACCAAAAATGTGCTAGTCCTTTTTGCAAAGATTTTCTTCACCTTGCACATTGTTTGGCAACTTTTTTCTTGACACTGATATTTTTCTGTATAAAATTCTAATGTCCCAGTGTTCGTACGAACTCGCATAATTTGCAAAGACATTTTATTTTATATCTGAAGAGCTCCAGTAATTTTTCGCATATCCGCCTTCTTTTTGAAACATAACAATCAAACTCATTAGCGATTTTCTTCATGGGTCCCAGCATGAGTTTTCACATACAACATTTTAACGTTCATTGTTATAAGGTACAGAATTTGACAATAAACTATTCGGCAGCGTATAAGCTCAATGTGTAGTTCAGCAACTATGTCCGTAAAGTGGACAGTTTGACAGATGACTTTTCGTTGTGGTACCTGACGGAAAAATAGTAAAATCTCTTCGCCCGGAGGACTCGACTTTGATTTTTATAATGTCATTATAACTCTTATTTAATAAACAACCTATGGTAAAATGTTGAATAATTGCTTTGCAAGCAAAATTAATTTTTTTCGTGATTTTTTGGCTTAAATTTCGATTTCCGACGAAACGGCTCGGGTAATTTTGCTATAAACGGGTGACTGAGTTTATTTTAATATATATTTTCGAAATTGGTCATAAAAAACGTGGTGCTAATTCGGTCAATATAGACTGGTTTCAGGCCTACCGTGATAGTTCTAATAAGGTATTCGAAAAGTTTCAATTATTTAAATGGTTCGAATATAATAAAAAAATGTGGAAAATTGTAAGTTATTTATCAAAATAAGTGATTACATACCCTTATCTCCACCTTCACTTGAATCAGCGCCTTTCTCCATATCATTAGTGGCAACATGCTGCGATCGATCTCTTCTAAACTTGGAAAAAATCTTTCGCACCAAGTGATCCTGATTCTGATCGAGCTGCGGCTCGTTTTTTCTCCTCTCGGCCAACTCGCGTTCTCTTTTGACGTCAGCCACCTTTCTAAATATCAAGCGGTGCCGCAGATTGTATGTAAGTATCAGGTTCCTGGCGAAACTGTTCGCGAACGCCTGGTAGAAGTCCAGCACTTCCAGCAGTTTGTCGCGCTTGATGGTGTGTAGATCGCAGTAGGTTAGTGCGCGCACGTTGGCCGCCGATTGGCCTACTGCGTTGTCTTTCCAGAAAGAATCGCCGAAAACGTCTCCCTTACCTTCAACATCAAAAAGGTTTTATTTAAAAAGAGAAAATACTGTTAAAAACCCGATATAGTTAAAAGCCTCTTTAATACAGTCTAGGGTAATATAAATGATATGGTTTAAAACCATTTTAACTTTTGTAATGAGGCTGGAACATGATGTCGAAAATCAGTGTGAAACCACTCTTATTATAGAAATTATTTACTAAAAATATCCATACCGTTAAAAACAACATTTTTGCTATCCATTTCTCATCAAAAAGCCCATTGAAAATTGAAAATTAATCTCGGTAGCGTGACGTCACGATGTTATACTTTAAATGGTATATTGGTATCTTAGTATTTTGATTGAAGTATAATTTATTAAATTATTTTTTGCAAACGCCAAATTTGTCAAAATCAAAATTTTCCATGAAGTACTAAATATCCGAAGATCAAGGTAATTATCTAATTATTATTAATAAATCATGGTACCTACACTGAAAAAAATAAGCTGTTGAAACAACAAAAAAAATATTAATTCAACTCTTTATGCACTTTAAATACAAGCAATGGTTTTTGCACGTTTACTTAACCATCTAAAAATGTCAAATTGTATTGTTTAATTGAACAACAAATAACAGTCAAATGAACAAAATTAGGATATTTGTTCCAATCTGCTAATTTTGTTAATTTAACATTCTTAGAGTGTTAAGGCAACTTTATGAATGCAAATTTAACATTTTAAATTTTAAAATAACATTTACAATTTGTTAAATGAACAAATTTAATGTTGTGGATTAAACAGCAACTAAACGTTAATCTAATAGTTTTTTTAGGTAATCCCAACAATTTTAGTATTTGATTTAACCAATTCCAGCTATTAAATCAAAATAGGATAAAAACTTTAATTCAAACAATTAGTTCATGTAAGATCAATATTTTAAATTGTCAAATGAACAAATAAACTTTGACAAACTCTGACTATTGCTTTGACACCAAAATATAGATTAATCCAATAGGTTTTTTGTTGAAACAACATTTTCAAAAATGACATTTAGGCAAATGTTAACTCAACGAATATATTTTTTTCGGTGTAGTGCTAGGCTAGTGCCTTTGTGTGCAAGCGCCAGTTCAGCATTCATTGCATAATTCATTCGTAATTCTTAAAACGCCTGTTAAAGGCGTATCAACTGCGAACGGATCGGGGTTGCCAACCGTCCTGTTTTCCTAGAACATGTCCTGCTTTTTGGGCCGTTCTTGGGTGTCCTGGATAGTTTAAGCGTCCTATTTTTAAAGCTATTAGCTAGGAATTGTTTGTTTTATAATTTAATAATTTATTCTTTTATTTAATTTCTTATATAATTTAATTAAAGATACTTTCTTAAAAAAATGTTGTTGCCATTAGTTTAATTTCATTGACCCCGTTTTCATTGCACATTACAATTTACTACTCCTTCTGTTTTAAATCGAATTGTCCTGATATTTTCACCTTCCTAGTTTTTAAAATTTAGGGATGGCAACCCTAAGGTAAATGTACGGAAAAAATGATATTATTCAAAATTTATTCAATTTATTTATTTTTTAATATATTCAATTTATTCTTTACTAAAGATTTATTGAAATTGTTACTAATCCTTAAAAATACAGGTCTTGATCAAAAAATCCTTTAAAATAATTATTTTTAAAATTACTAAAATTTTTACTCGTAAAATATCAAAATTATAGCCGTTATGTCTAAGAAAATAAAACCATTGGTAAAAAAATTCTTGTATACAGGGTGCACAATTATCCTTTTATGTGTATTATACTAGTATAAAGCCTGGGATAAAGATTGCCTTCCTTCCTTCCTTCCTCCCGTAGAAGATGAACAATACGAAATTTTTGACGTAATTGTTACCATTAACATTTCCCGTGTAAGAATTTTTAATACTTTGTGATAATATTTTGCAATTATAGGAATAAAAAAAATCAAAGGATAAAATATTTTCTTAACAAAATCATATTTTGAAGTTATTTTAACATTTTAAAGTATCAATAATTGTTAAGTTTATTTAAAATTAATAACGGGCAATGTTAATGGTGACAATTACGTCAAAAATGTTTATTTAAATCGTAGTGCCATTTATAAATTCCCGTACCGTAAGGACGGCATTCCTTCCTCCCCTAGAAATTTTTAAGTTTTATCTTTCACCGTAAAGGTCTTTGACATGACCAATCACAGTGCTTGTTATGGACATGCGCTATAGGGTGACAGCGCGTAGGCACAAAATATTTAAAATACATGATTGTTTAGTATTATTTAAGATAGGTGTTCAGTTTATTAAATAATTTCTGTCTCTAAAGTGGGCGAGTCTTCCAACGTCTTGTTCGATGTTTTTTTTTCATTATACTGCCCTACTATGAAGAAAGGCAGTAAGTACAAAAAAAATTGTAAATGCGTTTTAGTAGATATACTAAGCCGATACGGGACCGGAAGTGAGCCAGACAGTTGGATGGGCGTTCCTAAAGGGGGCGTTCCTAAAGGGGGGGCGTTCCTAAAGGTGATTGGCCCAAAAAAAAGGGGGCTAATCGATGTTTGTGGTTGCAAAACCCCGCCCAGTAGAGTGTGATTGGCTGTAGATAGGCCGGTGGTTGGCTGATAGGCCCCCTAATGGGCGGCCGTCGGATGTCGGCCATTTGCAAATAGCGCCCTCTACTGATAAGCGGTAGTAAAAGCAACGAACTAGAGATAATAAGCGCCCTCTACTGATAAGCGGTAGTGAAAGCAGCGAACTAGAGATAGAAATGTAATTTCCGTTTTTGTGACGTAATTAGCTTGATAAAATATTTCCGTTTTTGTGGTAATGTGTTTATTATTGAATTTAATATAATTTTCATTTTTAACGCCATTTTGAATTGCTGACGTCATCCGACTTGTCCTAACAAGTCTATTTTTAATCCCTCCAGAGGCCTTTTTCTCACAATTAGGCGTTCAGTCTTCCGTCCGACCTTTTTTATTAAAATTAAATTTTTTTAATATTTTGGGACCGATCGGTACAATTTTAAATCAATTAAAAAACATATTAACAACCGTTTCAACATATTTTAATCGATAATTATAAAAGCTTAACTTTAATAAAAAAAAATCATTTCAATGTTGACTTTTAAGCATAAAGGTAGTGGTTTATTAAATTCGGTAATTAACAACCTACCCTTTGAGCTTCACGTGCCCTCTTACCAATTTTGTGGACCAGGTACTAAATTAGATAAGAGAATTCAAAGGGGCGATACTGGTATAAACCCCTTAGACGCTGCATGTAAAGATCACGATATTGCTTATTCAAAAAATAAAAATTTGGAGGATAGACATAAAGCGGATTGGATTTTGGAAAATAAAGCTTGGGAAAGGGTGAAATCTAAAAACTCTAAAATAGGTGAGAAAGCAGCTGCTTGGTTAGTAACAACGGGAATGAAGGTTAAAAGAAAACTTGGAATGGGCGTTCGAAAAACTCGAAAACCAATCTCATTTAAACGTGGGGTGGTTGATAAAATTAAAAAACATGTTCAAGATTTAGATATATCCAATCAAAATTCACTTAAAAAATCTACTGCAACGGCACTTAAAGCAGCTCGGGTGATTATAAAGAAAGCCGGGGGTCGTAAAAATATTAAGGTGCCTAGAATAATTCCATTTGAATCGAACAAACAAGGAGGATTTTTACCTCTTTTACCACTATTCGCAGCCTTAGGGGCCATAGGATCATTGGCTGGAGGCGCAAGCGCTGTAGCCAAAACGGTGATAGACACAAAAAATGCTAAAAAGAAACTTGAAGAATTAGGTCGACATAATAGGGCTATGGAGGAAATTGGGAAAAAAGGCTCGGGATTATATTTAAAAAGGAATGTCAAGGGAGGATATGGTCTTTTTTTAAAACAAAAAAACTACCAATAAAGCTACCCAATAGAGCCCTATATGATTCTGAATTGGTAAAATATGCACAAAAGCTTAAAATACCCTATTTTAGAGGGGTTTTTATGCGAGACGCTTTACCAAAAATAAAAAATAAAAATGAATCTGCAATCCTAAATTTAGACATTTCGAAAAATTTGGGTACACATTGGGTAGCTTATACTAAAAGAAACAATTCTGTTATTTATTTTGATAGTTTTGGTGGTCTTAAACCGCCAAAAGAATTAGTAAATTATTTAGGAAAAAATGTTAAAATTAATTATAATAATGATTGTTTTCAAAACTTTAAACAAATTAATTGTGGCCATTTATGTTTGTGGTTTCTTTATAAAAATAAATGAGATAAGAAAATATGATTAGTCTATTATTAACCGTTGTTTAAAGATAATGTCCCAGCTATTTACATTAAAAAGTAATAATTATGTTTTAAGTATAGATTTTACAAATCAAATACAACTTAATCCAGATTTTGACTACGGTATAGCATTAATAGGGTTTTATTCCTATAACAGTATCCCTAATATTGAAGAAGGTGAAAATACATTTTATTATAAAGAAGCGAGTGTGGTAAAAAAAATAATAATACCAACTGGTACTTATGAAATATTAGATATAGAAACGTACCTAAGACAACAAATTATTCCTGGTAACGTTAAAAAGGAAGATTATGATAAATATTTTTCACTTAAACCAAATAATAATACTTTAAAGTGTGAAATTCAAAGCAATACGTTGGAAATAGATTTTACACAAGCAGATGGTATAGGAAAAATATTAGGATTTTCTAAGCGTACTTTAACGCCGGGTAAAAAACACGAATCAGATCTCCCAGTTAATATAATAAAAGTTCGAACCATTCACATCGATTGTAATATATCTACAGGTGCTTATTATAATTATCTACCAACACATACAATTTACGAATTTTCAGTAGACGTTGATCCAGGCTATACAATCAACGAAATTCCCCGAAACCTTATATATTTACCAATAATAAATAAACAGGAAATATCTAATATTACTTTGGTAATTTTAAACCAAGATTTTAAACCAGTTAATTTTCGTGGAGAGGAAGTTATAGTTC